CCATCTTCCACATTCATACAACTCAATCCAAGTTAGTGAAACGAAAACCAAAATTCCTTGAGCAAACTTCCTGCTTTCTAGCACCCACCTCATTGATCTAGCTCCCATGCTATTCCATTCCCACTCACTTCTGTCTCTAAAATTCATCCACTCAACCCATCTTTCTACTCACAGAGAGTCCCACAGAAATGCCAACGACAATCACCCTCTTCTTCCCGGCGGCCACCTAGGAGAGGAGGATGGACAACGTGGTGTAACTGGGAGGATTCCAGGCCAGGAACAGGGGAGGGAGGGAATAGGTTTCGGCTGAATGCTGGGGCTTTTATGTCCCCATGAGAAGGAACAGATAGAGGTCTCTGGTCAGGTAGCAGTGGGAAGCACAGACCTTCTTCAGTTCCTCAATCCCGTGCAAGGCACTGTCTTCCGTCCCCTCCCTAGAGGCCACCACAGACCTAAGAGGACAGACTCGAGGTCAGTGGCACTCGCTGGGAAGCAGAAGCCTATGGTTTATTAGGGCAGGCTACATTAAGAGATGGGAATAAAGGGAAAACTATCATTGAATCAGCACCCACTGTTTGTTGGGCACCATGACAGACACTCCGCAGAGTTGAAAAACCCAAATACCTACAACAGCCGGTCAGGCAACCTAAGTATGTAAAGTGGACCAAGTGTAAGGCAATAAGGAATGGGGGGACTAAGGCAAGCTGGGCACGATCTCTGCCTAAAGGCATTCAACTCAATTTCTAAGAAGCACCATTCAGGCCAAACAAAATATTCACAGGCTAGCTTGGCTTACCTGTCACCCCCTGCAATGAGGTAGGTGTAAAGAGGTTTCTGTCCCAGACCCTTCATCAGCTGATTAAAGGACACCTGTCAAGGGGGAGAGGATGTGAAGGGGTAATGACAGAGAAGAAACAATTATCCTGGATGTTCAACTCCTAGAGGACAGAGACTATGTAATGATTCTCTTAGACCAGTGCTTAACGCAGTCCTACATGGACTCTGGCGCTTAAAGCTGCCACTTGGGGATGATTAGTTGGCGGTGCATGGGATGTAGAGACATTGACAACAGACTGGTGGGACTCAGATGGGCTCAGAAGAAATGGGACTTCATGGTGACTTCTAGCTTTTGGAAGAGAGAGAGAGAGAGCCGGGCTTGGAGTCCAGGTCGAGTGAGGGAGACACCTGGGAGCTCAGTTATGGTGATCTTTATGGTCCTGAGGGTCACCTCAAGAAGTGGAGAGGGAAGAAAACTGGGGACCAGGGTGCTCACCGACATGAGGAATGCCATCCGGCCAGAGGTGCCCCCTCCACTCAATACAACCAGCCCCCCATCTGGCTCCTGAAGAAGGAAAAAGGCATATCTCACCAGGCCCTGGCTTAGGTTGGGGGAAGCATATTCTTAGTCAGTAATGCAAGAGGAACTGAAAAGACTCCTTATCCCTCCTCTCATCACAAAGGTGAACAAATACACGCACTGTAGTGTAACAAAAAGACACGGATTAGAGAAACCAGTTTGACTCCCATGTCTTGCTCCACTACTTATTCGAATCCTTACTTATCCCCGAAAGAACTGAGAGCAGCTTTGTCATCTAAATAAAAGTACATAATAAAAGCAGCGTTATCCAGCAATTATTAGCTGGGTGTATTTGAGCGAGCTACAGTGATTGTCTTACTAAGTCTTTGTTTTTTCATCTGATAAAAACAAACAAAGAAACAGAAATCATATCAACTTCACAGGTTTTTGTAAGGGTAATAGGTGTGAAGGTAGATTGTCAATTATAAAGTATTAGGCAGATAAGTCATTATTATTGATGATGATTAAGATGAAAATAAGGATCCAAAAGGGAGGATCTCCAAAAGGGACAAAGGAGAATGACATCTATAAAAGTGAGAAATAGAGACCAAGGAAAGAGAAAGAGGGAAACAGAAAAGCTGAGGCAGGGAGCAGAAGGAAGGTGGTACCTTCAGCACTTCCTGAACTTTTCCAGCCACTTGCACCATGGTGGTCAGAATGGATTCACTGTAGAGTCTCTGCAGGGAACAGGCAGGAATCAGAAGCCAAGAAGAGGCGGACGGTGGATGGGGGAGGAGGTCTCGGAGTTTCCAATATCAGGAGCCATGGTCAGGGAGGGCAGAGGTGGGATTGGGGTTGGCATGTTTATTTGCAGGGTCCAGGGCACGGGTCTGGGTTACCTGGTATGTGGGCAGGGCTTGCCCCTCCTCCTGGAAGATCTCAGCATCACATTGCCCCAGCAGTCGAACAATTTTCTCAGCATCTGCTTTGTCTAGGTCCCGGGTCAGTGGATTTGACTTCTCTGTGATTGGCACAGCTGCCTCATACCCAGACAACTAGAAGGAAGAGGCGACAAGGAAGGAGCAGGAAGCCACCGGCTCATTCATGCCTGCTGAGCTGGAGGTGGGAGTGGCAGCAGGCACAGAGTTTGTACACACACACACACACACACACACACACACACACACACCCACCCCACACCGGAAACTCAGCCTGCACTTGCTACTCCAGGCATATTAGGGAAAGAATGTCAGGAAGGAAAAAGAGGTGAGCAGAAACCCAGGGCAGAGGGAAGACTGGATGAAGAATAATTCTAGGAATCAGCACGGAAAGCCAGCATGGAGAACGGGTCTAACCTCCCACTGGCCAGGCTCTGGGGTCTCAATGACATGTTGAAACCGTTTTGTGGCTGGCATGGTCCCACGCTGTGGATACACTGTTCTGCCTGCTTCTTCAGCCGCACAAACCCCTCTGGTCACAGTGACTCTGCTTCCAGTTGGCAGGGCCTTATCTGAGCCACAGTGATGATTAATCCAAGCACCCTGGGCTCTCAGGGCACCCCCCACCCCATACCACCACCTGCACCACCCTTTCCTGGTCACTAGGCCCCCAGCCCTCTGGTAACCTTAGGGAAACTCCTCTATGCATTCACCCTGACTCCCCAGCCGCTGCTTTGGCCCCTGAAGAGGAAGACCTGAGGCTCGTGACTCTTGCCCTACAGGGACAATGCCCTCTTCTCCAGAGGACCTAGAGCCTGGGAGTGCAGGACAACACCCAGGGCAGTGAGAATCCCTGGGCAGGTGTCCTCCAAGGCCAGAGATCAGGTCTACAGGTCAGCAGAAGTCAGAGGACCTGGCCCATGACTTGATCACATGCTCCACAGGCAAAGTCCCACTGGTCCCATTTTACCCTCTCCTCTCAGAAAGGAAGGCAGCTGAAGCTTCTGAGCCCCAAGTGTGCACACACTGTACTGGACATTAGAGCCGGAAAAATGCCACAGAGACAGAAAAACTGCATGGAGAATTAGAAACCAAAGGATCTGCCCTAAACACAATGTTAGCCAGCATCTATTTACACTGAACAACACACTTTTCACAGACAGTGTCTCATGGGATACACCAACACGAAGATGTTGGTCAACATTGACACCTTCATTTTTCAGATGATGAAACAGGCTCAGAGTAGTTGAGTTGGTTGCTTATCACACAGCTGGACAAATTGGCATTACACTCAGGTTCTCATTCCAGATTTCAAGTTCAACCAAAGCATAAAATAATGTAAGGGCTTACATGCTTATTGAACAAAGGAAGTAGCTAACAAATTGGTGCACATTTACAATCATCATCCATTCACACGGTGTTGTGAGATTTATAAAGATCTCTCCCCAACATTGGTTCATTTGAGCCTCACAACAACCTTGTGAGGTTTAACTCGCTTTGCTTTACAGGTGGGAAATCTGCGGCACAGATAAACCAGTTTCTCCAAGACCACACCGTAAGTGGCAGAGCTTTAGAAAAACAAAAAACATAACAAAACAAAACAAACAAAAGAAGAAGAAAAGAAAGGAATAACAATTTTTTTTAAAGCCATAGGTCTCTGAGCTTTGATTCTCCCTAGAAGCCCAACACTCTTAACAATCTCCATATCTCCAGGTTTTAACTAAACACATAAGAGATGCTCAATAAACATTTGCTGAATAAATGAAAGAATGAATGAGAAAGCGAACGGAATGAAATCAGATTACGAATGGGAAAGAGACTTAAAAGCTGACGCAGTCTGTAAGTAAGGGATTGTCAAAGCAATTATTATCTCCCTGACTCTGTCCGCTCTCCTCCTAGCCCCTCGGGCACTGGAGGTGGAATTCCTCCTCCCAACTTGGCTCTTCCACGCGGGGAGGAAGGGGCTCTCCCAGGTGCCGGAGACCCTCGCACCCGAGCCTCCCCCGACGCCCCCGCCGGCTCCTCCGCCTGAGCTGGGAGAGAGAAGGGATAAGGGATGGGGGCCCCGGAGGCGCCATTGGGAGGGTCGTGGGAGGAGCCCCGACAGGACGGAGGTGGGGGGCTGGAGGGGAATGACGGCGGCCAGAACCCCGGCGGGGCGGGGCGGGCCCGCGCGTCTGGGTCGGGCTGCGGCGGAGCGAGCGGGGCCAGCGCTGCAGAAGGCGGCTGGCTCTCCGGGACGGTCACATCCCGCTGCAGGGGCGGGCGGACGCCGCCGCACTGCCTCCCGCACCGCGGACCCAGGCCAGCGTCCGGGCAACGCCCCCCGCCCCGGGACAGACTCCCCGCCCGCCCGAGCTCTGGGGGCTCCGCAGATCCGCGCCCGCTCGGCCCGCAGCTCGGCCCCGCGCTGCCCGCCTCGCCGGCCCGCAGCTCGGCCCCGCGCTGCCCGCCTCGCCGGCCCGCGCCAGGATGGGGTAGGGGCAGCGCCACCGAGTCGGGCGATGGGCCGCCCTCTGGACACCGAGCAGCCCCCGGAGGCCTGACCGACCGCGAGAACCGGCCGAGATGGGTGTGGGCAGGGCTGACCGCGCTCTGGGGGCGCCCGGGCAATGCGGGGGCGGGAGGACGCGGGGAAAATAGCGCTGTTGTGAGCTGTGGGGAGCCCAGGAGAGCTGCTACCCGCCCCCCCCCCCCCCCCGCCGTGTGTTCTGGGCAGTCCTTGACCCGCCACAGCTCCTGCCACCTCCAGGAGCCCCGCCTGGATGTCAAGCGGATGCCCCAGTGCCCCCCCCAGCGGACTCGGTGGGGACATGGCTTCGCTGATGCCCCTTTCCCCATATCTAAGTCCCACGGTCCTCCTGCAGGTCAGCTGTGACCTGGGTTTTGTGCGGGCAGGTGAGTAGAGGGGAACGGGGCTGAGGGTCCACCAGAGCTAGTCAGAGGGTGAACCTGTTAACACCCTGGCTCCTGCAGACCGGCCTCCCTCTCCTGTGAATGTGACGGTCACTCACCTCAGAGCCAACTGGGCCACTGTGTCCTGGGACGTCCCAGAAGGCAACATCGTCATTGGCTACTCCATTTCCCAGCAAGTATGAATCACCTTTCTGCTCCCCCAACCTGTGTCCTTGGATTTCTGCACATTCCTTCACTTAGGTGGGGGGATCTGGAAGCAGGGCAGCTCAGGCTGCCCTTTTCACGCCACTCCCACGGAGTGCTTGGATGTTGAAGAGTCTCGGCTGAGCCTTGTGGCCTGGCACTGGGTTGAGGCTGTCCTCCTCTCCCCTCATCTCCCTGCAGCGGCAGAATGGCCCCGGGCAGCGTGTGATTCGGGAGGTGAACACCACCACCCGGGCTTGTGCCCTCTGGGGCCTGGCTGAAGACAGTGACTACACGGTGCAGGTCAGGAGCATCAGCCTTCGGGGAGAGAGCCCCCCAGGGCCCCGGGTGCACTTCCGAACTCTCAAGGGTTCTGACCGGCTACCTTCAAACAGCTCAGGCCCAGGTGAGGGTCTGTGCTATTGGATTCTTTGGCTGCTTACCCGGCTTGCAGCCTCTTACTTCCCCAGGACAAGCCACAGTCCAGCTGAGGTGAATAGGATGATTTAATTCATTTATTAATCAATTCATAATATTGTACTGCCAGGAAAGGAAGGAAAAGCAGGTGAGAAGGGGTCTGGGTATAGACAGGCTGCTATTGAGTACAGACAGGCTGGTACTGAGTTGTTCTGGGGGAAAGGCTTCTAAGCTTCCTGTTACCCAACTTCACATCAGCTGCAGCCTGCATGAGTGAGTAATTAACCTGCAGCCATCTGCTTTTTGGTCGCTAACCACCTGTCCACCAGGCTTCCTCCCAGGGAAAGGCTACCCTACACTCCAAGGGCAACATTATGACGGTCTGCCCTCTCTAATCCCCTGTATCTCCATCCTGCGTATGTCTGCACAGAGAGCTATTCCCCAGTAACCTGGAGTCTGCCTTCTCCCTTCTCAGGTGACAGCACAGTGGAGGGTCTTGATGGAGAGCGACCACTGCCGACTGGGGAAGTGGTCATCACTGTGGTGGTGTTGCTTATGTGGGCGGGTGAGTAAGCAGCTAGACAGCGGACCAGGGACTCAGTAAAGGTGGGGGGTGGCAAAGGTTGTCAGGACAAAAAGAAGTGAGAGAAACTGGCCAGTCACAGTGGCTCACACCTGTAATTCCAGCACTGGGAGGCTGAGGCAGGCAGATCACCTGAGGTCAGGAGTTCAAGACCAGCCTGGCCAACATGGTAAAACCCCATCTCTACTAAAAATACAAAAATTAGTGGGATGTGGTGAAGGACGCCTGTAATCCCAGCTACTAGGGAGGGTGAGGCAGGAGAATCGCTTGAACTCAGGAGGTGAAAGTTGCAGTGAGCCAAGATCTTGCCACTGCACCCCAGCCTGGGTGACAGACTGAGACTCTGTCTCAAAGAAAAAAAAAAAGAGAAGTGAAAGAAATGGAGTGGGGAGATACTCAGTTGAGAAGGGATGATTCGAAGTTTGCAGAGAGGGAGAGGAGGCTGTTGAGAGCCCAGAGAGGAGGACTGCATTGGACACCAGGAATTCAGGATATTTTTCACGGATTTTTCTAGAAGCCATGTGGGTATCTACCTGTTGGGGGAGATGAAGGCTCAGACTGTATTGTGTTTCAGCTGTAATTGGGCTGTTCTGCCGTCAGTATGACATCATCAAGGACAACGACTCCACAACAATTCCAAGGAGAAGGGAAAGGGGCCAGAACAGAGTCCTCAGGGAAGGCCAGTGGGGACAAGACAGGTGATGTGGGGGCCAGTGAGGGCGGAAAGGGTGCTTTTGCCCCCGAGGGGCAGCCAGGGAAAGGAAGAAGGTCAAAGAGGGGCAGAAAAAGATGGAGAATGGAAGACTTGGGATGGGGGAGGCTGGAGAGAAAGGGTGGCACCTATTACCTTCCTGAAATTCAGGATGTTCTTCCTGAAATTGAGACTCAGATCATTTTCTTTCACAGAAAGTCACCATCCATCAACACCATCGACGTTTGAGGGAAGAAACACAGCCAGAAGAGAGATGCACTAACAACTTGGGGATGGGGGTGGGGTCAGGGAAAGCCCAAGATGGTGATCTGCTGGAGACTCCGAGGGTAATAACACGCCCACAATCTCAGGCCTGGTACCCATCCTCTTTCCACCGTGAGCAGAGCCAGTCTGTTAAGAGTCTGTGCCCCTGGACCTGGGGAGCGGAGATCAGATGGGACATCTCCTCCCATCCCCTGGTCCAGGGGAGAGTCACTTGTTCTACCCTATCCCATTAGGTCCCAAATGGGGACCCCATTCCACCTGTATCAGGACTCTCAGCATCCCCAGCTGCCCCCACATCTTGCCTCTGGGCCTCAGAGGGCGGTGTTTCTGTGGGTACTCCTCTTTCCCCAGCAAACAAAAGGAATTGTCACAGCCTAGAGGCAGATGCTGCACTGCACTACTCCAGTGTCTTCCATGGAGCCTCAGGTGCTCCCCCTCTCACCTGGCAGCCCCTTCAGCTGCCAGTGATCTCACTCCTTGGACATTTTTCCAATAAAGGTTCGTGGACAAACTGGAGCTGACTGCATAGTATGCCGAAGACATTTCCTCACCTCGTCTCTCTCCTGACCCTCCAAGGGCCCCTCACACCACCACCTACTTGACAGGAGCGGATTCTCATTGCAAGGTGTAGTCATACTCCACCCTGGGATAGGGACCAGGAAGAAGAGGTGTAGAAAACTAGAACCCCAGATTCTGTTGCTTTGTTGGGTGAGAAGGAGAAAAAGACAAGAGAAAGATTAAGTTCCAGCACCACTGGAGACTAAGGCATGTCATATGAGAGGGCAGTAGCTTTATCTTCACTTCTTACATCAACAGCACAGCTCCTCACCACTTATTCTTCTGACCCCTCCATCAACCCGGGGTTAACGGTCAGAAAAGGCCCAAGCAGTGTCTTGGGGACTAATGAACGGACAGCTACACTCATGGATTCCTGGTGCCACATGCTCCTATCCTATGTGTTCCTGTGGCTGTTCCTCCCTCCTTTGCGTTCCCTTTCTGCTCTGTCTCTGTTTAGTCAAAGTCAGTAATAACTGTAAATCATAAATGAGTTTATTTTCATGCTCTGCCACCATATCCAGAGAAGGATTCTGAAAATAAAACTGAGGGGTTTGGACTCCCCTGTCAAAAGAATTATCATTTGAGCTCTGAGGCCTACTTGTTTCCTGTGAAAATAGGGGCTGTCCTCTACTCTTTCCTGTTTTTTAAGGGGTGGTTGGTGGCCATGAGACAAACACCTGTTGACATTTGCAACCACTGTCGGCGAAGGCTTCTGGACCCACAGTCTCTCTAGAGAGCAACTATTGTTCAGATGCTGCCAGACAGCGACAACTCCCGTGGTTACCTGGACAACCCGCCACGCAGCCGCAGAGACAGCCACTGACGCTTACGTGACCGCAACACGCTTTGCAAGGTCACACGTAGCTTGGGATATTTTCAGCTTTGGATCATTTCAGAGCAGGCTTCTGAGTAACTCCTTTTCTGCGTTTCAATATCTCTGGTATGTTAGAATATAGGCCAAAAATTCGGAAAGGAACTCCAATCCAAACAAAGATCAACAAGTCAGTATCTTTTCTACTTAACCAACCTCCAACCCCAGGTATCACAAGACAACTATCAGGTGAGCCAAGTCTGGCCTGCCCTCAAAACTGAACCATAAAAGCATCCCAGTGTAAACAGCAGTCTTTAACCCACCATTACCCAATTTGGAAGTAGGGTACCTTACATTTCTCTGGCAGCTGGTTCGAAAACATTCATCTCTCAGATTCTGAGAATAAATATCGTCATTTATTGGGATGGGAGTGTCACAGGGTAAAGTATCATGGCATGGAGAGAGCGAGCTAGGAGCCAAGAAGGAACATAAAAGGTGTTTAAAGCTACCAACTCTGGGTTGAATCCCAGTTCCAAGTCCTTTGCTGACTGTGTTAGTTTGAGCCAGTGCCCTGAGTCTCCTGTTATGTAAAATGAGACTAATAATAACGCTATCCCCTTCAAAAGGTGGTTTTAGGATTAAATGACATAAATACATGTATAACACTTTGCACAGTACCTGGCAGACACATTCTGAGCGTTAATCGTTAGCTATAGTTATTAGCCTTTCGATCCCGAGCAAGTCATGTAAACTAACCTATTTGGGCACAATTCCGTCAACTGCAAAAGGCCTATCATAGCAACCGCTCTGCTTTCCTCCAGGGTTGTGAGGATTAAAAGACTGCACTCGGCAACAGCCAGGTATGACAAGGAGCAAGACCACGATGATGTAGGACCCAGGGCCTGCTGGAGGCTTGTGGGCGGGGCTTGATCTTGGGTTTGCCTGCGACGACAGGATTGGTTAAGAAGAGCATTCAGCCGGGAGTGGTGGCTCAGGCCTGTAATCCAAGCACTTTGGAGGCCAAGGCGGGCGGATCACCTGAGGTCGGGAGTTCAAGACCAGCCTGACCAACATGGTGAAACCCCGTCTTAATTATAAAAAAAAAAAAAAGAAGAAGAAGAAGAAGAACATTCATCAAGTCCTCTCAATGGCCCACCCCAGATCTCACCGCGCTTGCGCACGTTCTGTTTGCTTCGCCGCAAAGCGACGGGTGACCTTGAGACTCGTGTTGCCGTCGCGTAAGCTGTCAGTGGCTGTCTCTGCGGCTGCGTGGCGGGTTGTCCAGGTAACCACGGGAGTTGTCGCTGTCTGGCAGCATCTGAACAATAGTTGCGCGTCAGGCAGTTGAAGCACCTGAGGACCCTGCTGAGCTCTCAGGTGAGGAGTTGCGTGCCCGTCCCTTTCGCTTTACGTTCTGAGAAAAGTGGGGAAACTGACGTTTCGTTTTGTTTCGTTTTCATTTTTCGTTTTTGTCTTAGTACCTGGGTGCCAAGAAACAGAAGTTTAATGATGTTGAGCTCCTACTGTGTGCAGAAGGCTGTAAAGGATGTATCGATGATCCAGACCCTGTCCTGTCGATACAGTTCAGGAGGTGAAATGCAGCGCTAAACTTTCCTTATATTTCATTCACATCAGTTGTGTACAGGCCCCGGCCCCGTGCTGGCGCTCGAAGGACTTCCAAACCACCCGACTTATTGCCCCTGCCTTCAGGAGGCTCGTATTACAGGGAGAGGTGCACGTGTAAGCAGCGAGTATACATCCACCCATAATTAAATAAGCGCCTTAGGTGCAAGCCGTGAAGGGCGAGTGCAAAGACCGAGCGGTGTATACTGATGGTAGAGATCTAATCTCCTCCACTGAGGAGAGGCAGGGCCCTAGGGGAGGAGCCCTGGAACAGGGTGAAGAAAGGGTGAGCTTTGGAGTTAGCACACCAGAATTTAAGTCCTGGCTCCACCACTACGTCCTTATTTTCTTTTTAAAATTTCTTACCTTGCCCTTATTTCAGATCCACCACTACTTTATTTATTTAACAATTTATTTGAGACAGTCTTGCCCTGTCGCCCAGGCTGCAGTGCAGTGGCACGATTTCACAACCTCTGCCTCCTGGATTCAAGCGATTCTCCTGCCTCAGCCTCCTGAGTAGCTGGGATTACAGACATGTGATAGCACGCCCGGGTAATTTTATTTTTAAATTTTTATTTATTTATTTATTTATTTATTTATTTATTTCTGTAGAGATGGGGTTTCCCATGTTGCCCAGCCTGGCCACCACATCTTTAAGCAAACGACCCGATATCTCTAACTTTAGCCTTCATCATACAGTGTCTCTGAGCACTCACCAGCTTCTTCATTTGGAAAACATGAGTACTAATAGCAATTTTAGGGGACTTGGGTAAGAGTTCGAGTAATATACACAAAAGAGCACTGTAAACTGAAAAGCAGTGTGAAAAACTCATAGACAACAGGAAAGGGCATTCAAAAGTCAAAGGATGGAATAATACAAAGCTAGTAAGAATAAGATGTCTGGTCAGACACAGTGGCTCACACCTGTAATCCGAGCAATTTGGGAGGCCAAGGTGGGAGGATCACTTGAGCCCAGGAGTCCAAGACCTTTACAAAACATTTTTAAATTAGCCACATGTGGCGGTGAGCACCTATAGGCCCAACTACTGAGGTGGGAAAGTCTCCTGAACTGAGGTCAAGACTGCAGTGAGCCGTGATCACACCACTGCACTCCAGCCTGGGTGACAGAGCAAGACTCTGTCTCAAGAATAAATAAGATGTTCCATAATTGATTGCATAATATGTACCAGGGCATCTTAAGTAAAGAAATTGGGATTGTGGTTTATGGATTTACACATACATGGATTTAAATCATGGTTCTTGGCTAGACACAGTGGCTCATGCCTGTAATCCTAGCACTTTAGGAGGCCGAGGCAAGCAGATCACCTGAGGTCAGGAGTTCAAGACCAGCCTGGCCAACATGATGAACCCCTGCCTCTACTAAAAATGCAAAAATTAGCTGAGCATGGTGGTGCATGCCTGTAATCCCAGCTACTCGGGAAGCTGAAGCAGAAGAATCGCTTGAACCCAGGAGGCAGAGATTGCAGTGAGCCAAGACTGCACCACTGCACTCCAGCCTGGGTGACAGAGTGAGACTCTGTTGCAAAAAACTAATGAATTAAATAATTAATTAAATCATGTGTCTACCACTCACAAACTGTGTATGTGAACTTGGGCAAATTAATCTTTTTGGGCTTCTAATCCTCCATCTGTAAAAGGGGGATAAATGTAGCGTCTACCTCAGTGTTATGAGGTAAAATGAGACTATGCTTGTCTGGCACTTATCAAAATGCTTATTCTATGGTAAGTGCTTATTAAAGGCAAGCTCTTATTTTATTCTGTACCTCACTTAATAAAACAATCTACTGAGGTACATACTGTAGAGAACAGAGAATTAATTGATTATGGGAATCAGGAAGGCTTCACAGAGGGAATGGCATTTGGACAATAGAAGGAAATTAGAACACAGGCCAGGGCACAGTGGCTTATGCTTGTAATCCCAGCACTTTGGGAGTACAAGGCTCGTGGATTACTTGAGGTCAGGAGTTCAAGACCAGCCTGGACAATATGGTGAAACCCTGTCTCTACCAAAAATACCAAAAAATATTAAGTGGGCGTGGTGGTGCACACCTGTAGTCCCAGCTACTTGGGAGGCTGAGGCAGAAGGATTGCTTGAACCCAGAAAACAGAGGCTGCAGTTAGCTGAGCCTGTGACAGTGCACTCCAGCCTGGGGAACAGAGCAAGACTCCATCTCAAAAGAAGGAAATTAGAACAAAAGAGAGTTGTGCTCTCTCCTCAGTTGAAGAAGGCAAAAAAAAAAAAAAGATTTGTGCTTATTGCTCAGCAAGTCGTCCCTTGAATCTGTAATTTAAAAATTTCTTTGCCCGAATGGAAAACCTGGAAATGAAATCCTCCTTCAGTCTCTCAAAATAAGATGATGTCATGATGCAAGTAGGGCTGAATGTCCAGGATTGGGCAAAGCGATGAAGCAGGAGGATCAGCAGAAGTTGATGAGGAGCGCTTAGCCCTTCTAACCTAATGTAATGAAGTTAGAGGGTGATAGTGATGGTGGTGTGGCTATTTTCTGGTTTGAGAATTTGGGGGAAAAGAGGCTTTTTACTTCTGACTTTGGAGATAGGTGAGTTTGGAGTGAAAAGTGTCAATGTTTTAAGCAAGAACTCCAGTGTCCAAGTAATTTAAAAAAACAATTGGAGCAAAAGAAAAGCACAATAAATGTTTTGATTTCAAGGAAGGAAACCCTTTGTAGCAGAACCATACAGAAGCAGAGCTAGTGTTGGAAGGGTCAGGTCTGGTCAGAATAATTGACCTGGAGATAACTTCTAACTTGGGTTTCTGTGAAGTGGGTAGGTAAGAGGAAAAATAAGTGGCATTGTTTATCCTGAGTCTCAGCTCTAATTATTTTACTCCCCCTATCCTGAGCTCTCACTGTCTCTCCCTTTCCTGCCAAATAAGCCCAAACTCCTTCAAAGACTCTTCCTGAGCTGGCCTGTTTTTCCTGCCTTACCCGTTCTGTTCTATTATTTATAAGGTATAATAGTTTTAAATAAACTAAATTCGTGTTTCTTGTCCAGAACTTGCCTTTGCTCATTGCCATTCCTCCCATCTCAGGTAATTTCCTCTCAACTGCATTCATTCTTCAAAGCTTAATTTTGGTAATTTAAGCATAAAATTCTCTCAGGCTTCTTCACACTATTACAGCACTTTATACGTACTTTAATGGGACTTTTCCTATTTTGCACCATCTTACTAGACCTGGAGGCAGGATCTTTGTTTGGCTTTTGTCTCTCTCTCAGCCCCTGGCCAAGTACCTTGATCAGTAAGGTGCTCAAAAAATATTAATTGAATGAATGGCTACAGATCAAAACTTATCAGACTAATTGAATTTATTTCAGTAGCAGACCTGGCATCTAAGGGAATGAGGAGGCATTGCAGCGATTCATTGACACAGTTGACTTGGCACACTGCGTCTTAGTACATTTGCATATGAGTCTCTAGAAGCACACGGTTCTCACACTCTAGGATCTGAAGGTCTTGGAGACCAGGATGGGCCACAGGCACCTCTTTATTTTGAGAATAGGACCATGACAGGAAGAAAATGGACCAGAATTACACTAGAATTAATGGAGCTCGAAATGCTTTTGGCATTCCAGACTAGCACATGGGTTTGCTTTTACCCCTTTGCCTCTGCAGGATGGAGCTGCAAAGGTGACTTGCATGGCATGGTCCCAGAACAATGCCAAATTTGCTGTCTGCACAGTGGACCGAGTGGTATTGCTGTATGATGAACATGGAGAACGGAGAGATAAATTCTCCACCGAACCAGCTGACATGAAGGTAAAGAGTGTATTCACGTGTACCTTAACCTACTGATAGGGTCATACAAACCTGGAAGACCTAGTCTGCCTCCTAGTCATAGGCATAGGAAATGGTGTAGCCCACCTTTTTCTCAGTATAAATCCTCAAGCTCCTTTAGGAGTACACATGTACCTTTTTTTCTTTTTTCTCTTTTCTCTTTAATGCATACTCATTACTGATTTTTCTTTCTTCTTTCTTTTTTTTTTTTTTTTTTTTTTTTTTGAGACGGAGTTTCGCTCGTTACCCAGGCTGGAGTGCAATGGCGCGATCTCGGCTCACCGCAACCTCCGCCTCCTGGGTTCAAGCAATTCTCCTGCCTCAGCTTTTGTATTTTTAGTAGAGACGGGGTTTCACCATGATGACCAGGATGGTCTCGATCTCTCGACCTCGTGATCCACCCGCCTCGGCCTCCCAAAGTGCTGGGATTACAGGCTTGAGCCACCGTGCCCGGCCCTATCTTTTTTTTTTTAAACTTTTAGCTATGTGGTGAAGGGCATGGCTTTTTCTCCTGATTCCACTAAAATTGCCATAGGACAGACTGACAACATCATCTGTGTCTACAAGATTGGAGAAGATTGGTGAGGACAGAGACTGGGAGATGGGATGGCCCAGGAAAGACGGGAAAGGCAAGAGAAGTGCCTCTCTGGGGAGGGGAGATGGAGAGGATGAGAAGCCAAGCTTGGGTACTGAAGGCACTCTCTGGAGTCTATTGCTGCTTTTCTGCCTTCGCCTGTCCCACATGTTCTGCAATCCCATCCCTGGAGGAATCAGTCTGAGGTCAACAGGAGGCCCTGTGAGATCCTGGAAGCCCAGAGGGATGTTGCATCTTTGTTACTGTTCTGAAACTCCTTAGGCTCCCTCATATGCCTCCTTTCAGGGCTCCTACAGAGTAGTCAGAAACACTAGTGGGCCAGGAAGAAATCTGCTCTTTCTTCTCTTCCCTCAGCATCATGTTTGGCCATTTGTTTATAGAAGTGGTTTTAAATATGCTCCCCTGCTTTTGTTTGAAGATCAGAGTCTCTCTTGCCAGAACCACGTTCACATCTATATACAGAAAATGTCACTTATAATTTTAAGGGTCTGTGGCAGGTGAAGCCTATCCTTGGACCCTAAGTACTTCAACCTAAGTTAAGAAACCCTGAGATGTAGCCCTCTTCCTGTTAACTTTTTATTTTATGAGACAAAGTCTCACTCTGTCTCCCAGGCTGAAGTGCAGTGGCACAATCTTGGCTCACCACAGCCTCTATCTCCCAGGTTCAAGCAGTTCTCCTGCCTCAGCCTCCTGAGTAGCTGGAACTACAGGCACTCCCCACCATGCCCAGCTAATTTTTGTATTTTTAGTAGAGATGGACTTTCACTATGTTGGCCAGGCTGGTCTCGAACTCCTGGCCTCAAGTGATCAGCCTGCCTCTGCCTCCCAAAATGCTGGGATTACAGTCATAAGCCACTGCACCCAACCTCTCCCTGTTAATTTAGAACAGATACTGGATCCTTGTCAAAGCCAAGGTCAGAGATGAGAAGAGAGCAACTCTGTATTGGAGGATTATTGAGTGAGTTTGCTGTACAGGTGGCCAGGACTCAAGGAGGGGCTAATGCCCACAAACACGTGGCCTATCTGTGGGCAAAGAGCCTGGGAGGAGAAGCTGCAGTTGGACTGCTTACCAAGCTGGGACTCCTGGAAGCTTCCGTTGACCATGCTGCAGACAATTGGTGAGACCCCAAACGTTCTCTCCATGAGTCCCATCCCAGCCAGAGGCCCTCTCTAGATAAAGAAAATTGATGTATAACTGAAAAATATTTCCAGAAGTGGAGGCAAGAATGAAGAAATGTGGTAAAGGAAGATCCTTGGTAGGACATGATAGAGTGGCAAGAATAAATTAACTGCTCCTATGCCCTAGGGGCTCAGAACAGTGTTTAATTTGTGGCCGGTCTAAGGGTGGAGAGGGACCAGATTGTAAAGCTAGCACTGCAGACTGCACTAAGCCAGTTACTTGCTTCTGGGTAGTGGAAATGTTATTCTTCAAATGCAAAGCGAACTTTTCTTTATTTTGGAAGCACCAGAGCTCATGAGGTATTTTATTTGTAAATACGTATTACATCTCTAGAGAAAGAATCCCAGGATGTTCCCTCCGATGTGTTGTCTTGCTTCTTCATGGTCCATGATGCCAGCTGAGGTTGTCAGTACAATAAAACCAAACTGGTGGCCTGGTGGGGTGGCTCACACCTGTAATCCCAGCACTTTAGGAGGCCGAGGCGAGTGGATCAAAAGGTCCAGGGTTCGAGACCACCCTGGCCAGTAAGGTGACACCCCATCTCTACTAAAAACACAAAAATTAGCTGGGCATGGTGGTGGGCACCTGTAGTCCCAGCTACATAGGAGGCTGAGGCATGAGAATTGCTTGAACCTGGGAGATGGAGGTTGCAGCAGGCGAAGATCCTGCCATTGCACTCCAGCCTGGGCAACTGAGCGAGACTCCATCTCAACAACAACAAAAAACCAAATTGGCAGGATGGGAGCAGATTATTCTGCCATTTTTCTAGAGCTCTGAGTTGCATGTCGAATCTGGGGCTAATCACTCCACACCTGTTCAGCCTGCCTGTGAGGTTCACAACATTTTCCTGGCTCTGTGATCATCAGTGATTTCAAATCCACCCAATTTAACCATATTTCATCATCACACTTAGAAACCGGACGATGACTTTGGAGCACAGCCTGATAAGAGCCTGGTGTTCGCCTCTTTCTGGCATTGCTGATGCTCTTGAGAGCATCAACCAGGACATTCGTGCACACCATTGTGGTGGCGCAGAAAGATGGCGGAAAGAGCAAAGTGAACTTTTCTTAAGCAACTGTTATAAATGCCAATCATGGAGTCCGATGCTGAGGGTGATCTTGCTCATTTTTTGGAGAGACTGTGTTTCCGATAATGTAGCTGGGGCTCAGGAGGAGGTGGTGAGCACCAGGAGCCCTCCTGGCCCTGTCGGCAGAGGACTTAGAGGCTCACTCCTCCCTTCCCCTTCGCAGGCGCGTTCTCCTTCCTCAGGAGCAGCTGGCCTCGGGGAAGGCGTAGGTTTTTCCAGACGTCTCTTGATCCACACCGACAGTGACGTCGTCTTTACAGGGCTGCCTGCCTGTCTTCCTTTTTGTCTCTATGCTTTTCTGTCACTTCATGTCTGTTATCCTTAAATCAGTCACTTTTTCTCCCCTCAACCCTGTCCTTTCTCTGTTTTGTCTTGTCTTGTTCCTTTTATGAAGGGAGGTGTGAAGTAAGAAAACTTTATCTGCACCTTCTGTTTCAGCTCCTTTGAATTTGCTTTTGAACTCTCTCGGCTGGCCCTCAAGCACAAAACCCCCGAGATCCATCTCAAATACGCCATGTACCTGGAGGATGAGGTATGGGTGTGATGTGGACCCTGACCGCAGAGCCCTCTTGTTCCATCCCTTAGTGCACTGCTGCCTGGTGTGCAGACCCCGGTCTCCTGGCTGCCTGTGATGCCAGTCTCCTTCCCATCACACACGGCTGCCTTTCTCCCTGTAGGGTAAATTGGAAGAGGCTGAAGCTGAATTCATCAGAGCTGGTAAACCCAAGGAAGCAGTCCTCATGTGAGTTACCCCATACATTCCTTAATCCTGTTTCCCCAGTCACAGTCCCAGGATCTTTCATGACTATCTTGACTTCATTCAAACCTAGAACAAATCAGTGTTACACCCTTCAGAGACATGGCTGTTTGTCTCCCAGAATTGGGGCCTCAGTCCTATACTCAGTCTCTCCTCTGTCCCCATCTGGGGGCGAGTTTGTCCATAACCAGGACTGAGAGGCAGCTCAGTGTGTGGCCGAGGCCCATGACCCTGACAGTGTCGCAGAGGTGCTTGTGGGACAAGCCCGGAGGGCCTTGGAGGAGAAGGACTTTCAGAAAGCAGAAGGGCTGCTGCTCCGGGCCCAGAGACCAGGCCTGACTCTCAATTATTATAAGGTGGGGCACTGGATTCAGGGCCATGAGGGGATGGGGAGAGTCTGAGAGCCCACAGAGAGCCACACTGACCCCTGGTATGAAGAAAGATCAGGGATGTTAGTACTGGGGAGTGGGAAAGACAGGAAAGAGGAAGGAGAAGAGAGGTCGAAGGACCGTGGGCCAGGGCACCTGTGTGGCAGTGGGAAGCTGTCCTGCCTGCCTCTGCCATCTTGATACCTGGAAATCTGAGCAGGAGGCTGGATTATGGAGTGACGCATTGCGGATCTGCAAGGACTATGTGCCCGGCCAGCTGGAGGCTCTGCAGGAGGAGTATGAGCGGGAAGCTACTAAGAAGGGGGCCAGGTATGAGGCCAGAGGTCCAGCAGCAGTGGGAGGGCTGGGAGGGTCATGAGGCGTGCACAGGGTAGAGCACACTGCCCCCCACCCCGTGCCTAGTCCCAGTGCTCTAATCTCCACAGGGGTGTGGAGGGACTCGTGGAACAAGCTCGACACTGGGAGCAGGCTGGAGAGTACAGTCGCGCCGTGGACTGCTACCTCCGAGTGCGAGACTCTGGAAACAGCGGCCTGATGGAGAAGTGCTGGATGAAGGTGAGGGCAGCAGGCTCTTTCTGGCCCTCCTCCTTCCTAGGCCTCCATTCACACTCAGCTTCCCTTCTCACATCTGCAGCTGTCTCCTCTGTGTCTTTTCCTTTTCAGTCAGGTAGCAGGAATCTGTAGAGCTCCTGCTGGATGGCAGAGCCAGAACCTCTGAAGGCTGTTAGGCAGACATAAGACAGAGCCCTGACAGCTCAAAGTTAGGGGAGCTGGACTAACATGGCTCAGTTAATATCGTATCAGAGTAAAGACTAAATTGCTTGACTTAGAATTCAGAGAACAGTGAGATCTGTGTGGACTAGAAGAGTCAGGAAGGCTCTGTGAAGAAGGAGGGAGGACTTGGACAGGAGCTCCAGGCACAGGAACTGGCCTGACAGGGACCATGACAAAGGCTGGGCTCCGCCTCCCCCTCACTAATTCCTGAAAAGAAGCCTCCAGCAAATGAAGCCAGGCCGGTATGTGTCACAAATAATAAGACATACTGTATTAGAGAAACCAACAGGATATATACAGTCGTACACTGCATAACAACATTTTGGTCAACAGTAGACCACATGGCTGAGCATGGTGGCTCACATCTGAAATCCCAGCACTTTGGGAGGCCGAGGCAAGTGGATCACTTGAGGTCAGGAGTTCAAGACCAGCCTTACCTACATGGTAAAACCCTGTCTCTACTAAAAATACCCAGAAGAAATGAAGTTCTCCTGGGGCAATCACCTCAAACAGAAGAAGGAAACACTTTTTAGGAAAAATGTGCTGTCCTATCTTCCAGCAGTGCAAAGGCGGGTAACAATACCAGAGCCTTCATCCTCCCCATTCTCAAAGCCCTGTCCCAGGCTCTAAAAGGGAGGCCAAAAGAAAAGACAACGGATATGAGAGACACTGGGGATGTAAAGGAATAGAAACTAATGGCAATGTGGCGAGGAATTAAATCCAAGGAGGTGGGGAACAGGCAGCAGAACGTGTAAAAAAAAGGGGGACAGGTGATCTGATCTAGAAGGGTGGGGCCTACGGTGGCCTCTGATAAAACCAACTCTGAGCATGGGACAAAAGCAAGGGACCGCATGCTCTGGGCTCGACAGCGCTACCACTAAAGCATGACGGTCAAACCAAGAAACGAACAGCAGGTACAGCACAGAGTCTGGAAGACATCACTTCCTCCCCAAGCCTAACAGTTTCACCCAAGGGCTCCGGCCAGACCAAGGCCACTTCGGCTCTCCTCGCCTCTCCCGGATGTGGGCTCGGCCCCACCTAGCCCTCTTCTGAACGTCTACTTCCGCCTAGCAGCTTCCGAGGGGGCTGCCGCCGGAGCTAGTCACATGAGGAGCCACCCTGCAATTCCTTTGAGATCCTGCCCCACTGGGATCACAACCTGGGACCTGGGAACCTGTGGATGGGGTCTGGAATGAAGGGGCGGAGCTTGGAGCCTCTGCCCAGCCTTAAAACCCCTGCTTTCATTCCGGACCTTTGTACAATTCCTCATGTCCCACCACCCTGCCTTCGCCACGCACCTGCCCAGTGGTCTCGGTCTAGATCAGGCGTCCTCAAACTTTTTACACAGGGGGCCAGTTCACTGTCCCTCAGACCGTTGGAGGGCCGCCACATACTGTGCTCCTCTCACTGACCACCAGTGAAAGAGGTGCCCCTTCCTGAAGTGCGGCGGGGGGCCGGATAAATGGCCTCAGGGGGCCGCATGTGGTCCGCGGGCCGTAGTTTGGGGACGCCTGGTCTAGATGCACAGGGAGATCAGTTACTGCCGCCTTATTGATCTTAGAGAAATTACAGACCCATTCTCGCATGCCTCCCCCCGTAGAGAGACGGAAGCCTTTCCACGCTGGGGGCGCAGGAACTGGAGGCAATGGCTGAGCAGGAAAGAAGCCTGGAAAGGGCAGCACGGTGAAGACTTGAGGGAGACAACGAATAACAGGGGTGGATCTCGCCTCTGTGAGTAGCTTCGGGCCTCCACACTTGCCCTGCTTGGGGATTTTTGTGTGTGGTCCCGAGGAGACTTGTTCCATTCTTCAAATCTCCATACATATAGGGCTGTATGTTCTCCCCAGGGGAACTGTGCTTGAGTCCCTCCTTAAGGGTACTGTGATGGCTCCTCCCAGAGGGCCTCCCTGGCTGCACCTCAGAGGGACGGTGATGGGCTCTCTCAACAGGAACTGCAGTGGCTCCTCTCAGAGGACCTGTGACATCTCCCCTCAAAGGGACTGCGTTGGCTCCTCTCAGAGAGACTGATGGGTTCTCTCAGAGGGACTATGTTGGCTCCTCTGAGATGGACTGCAATGGCTTCTCTCAGAGGGACTGTGATGGCCCCTTTCAGAGAGACTGTGACAACTCCTCTCAAGGGGACTGCGATGATTTCTCCAAGAGGGAGTGGGACATCTATCCGAGGGACTGTGACGGCTCCTCTCTGAGGGACTGTGGTGGCTCCTCTGAGAGGAACTGCAATGATTTATCTGAGAGGGACTGTGAAGGCCCCTTTCAGAGAGACTGTGATGGCTCCTTTCCAGGGGACTGCGATGTTTTCTCCGAAAGAAGCTGAAATGGCATCTGTCAGAGGGACTGTGATGGTTTCTCCAACAGCGGTTATGACCGGTTCTCTCAGAAGGACTGGGTGGGGTTCTCTCCCTATAGAAGCTGGGGTGGTTTTGCTCCTCGTGTGTGAGTTTCTTTTTAAGGTGTCGGTGCCAGGTTCTCTTCACAGGGGAGCCAGGTAGATTTCTTCCTTGGGCCTGAACTCTGGTTCCTGGTGTGGGCAAGCTCTTAGACTCCTGGCTGGAGATTTCATTTTTCTTTGATCTGCTTCTACTGTCCTTTTGGACAGTTCCCAGAGGCTGCTCCACTGAGGCAGCTTGGAAAGTGATATCACTTTGGGAACCTGTGGGCTTGGGCAGTCGAAGAGGTCTGGGTTGGAAAGAGTGAGGTCTTCTTGGCGGTTGAGCTGAACTGCACTGGTCTGTCCCTTCCCACAATATGTCGTCCTGCTTCACGGTTGAGCCTGCTGACCTTAGCTTGTCAGCTGACCTCCTCTCTCTTTTGATATTGCTGGGTAAGCAGTAATCCCTGGCATTTCGCTTTGGATAATAGTTTTTGCTTGCCCACAAATTGTCTGGGATTGTCCTGTCCCCAGGCTTCTGCCCAGCAAAAGCTAAAACTCTGTATGCTGTTTGGAATGCCTGCTTTATGCCCTGAAAAAGCAGTTGCATGAACTTGGGTTGGGAAGGTTTCTTAGGTTGTCTTTTTAAGGAGGCAGTACTTGTCTGAGCTGCTCCAATCGTCTTCCTTCTTAAATGGGCTGGTGATTCCCTAGAGGGGCTCTCTATTGTGGTTCTACTGTTTGTGTAGAACTTTCTGTGTTTTCTAAGTCCCTTGGTCATTCTCTTCATTGGATATTTTGAACCAGAGGCCTTTTTGGTTCTCACTTTAGCCCGTTCCTCATTCTGAGTGCTTTCAGAGTCGCTCTCTGATAGGGTGTGAACCTGAGTGGATTCATAGTGTCTAGGTGCTCTAATTATTGTCTTTTCTTCCAGGTCAGGGCTGCTGCGTTGTCTTCTGAGGTAGACTTGTACAGGAGCAGGGGACCGGGAGGACCCAGATTGCAAATCTATTGTGGAAGCAGGACTCTTGGAAGCTTGAGTATGGATTTTAGCTTTCCTTTGTGATGGTGACATAGTTCTTCTCCGTATGACGGGTCTATCTCTTTCATGATACTTTGAGACTTGGGGTCTTTTCCTGGTTCGCAGCCTAAAGCCAAGGTGCAACCGAATCTCACCATGGCCTTCAGGAGTGCTTACAAGGTGGAGCTGTGGATAGATCAGAAGATAAGGCCCCAAAGTGGTCTGTAATTTATGATGGCAGTTAAATCCTGAACATCGGCCACAATGTAGGCAGATGGGTGCTTTAGGACTAGACCTGAAGCTAGAGGTGGAGGCACATCGGGGGGTATTTGACTCCTTAAGAGTTTTGCTGCTATTTTTAGCTGCAAATCTTGTAGCAACTGGAGCTGTTCTGAGAAGTCACTCTGGGGAAGATAATTTGGCTTGAGGGAGTGTTCGGACTCAAAAATCCTTGTTTGGGAATCACTCTGTGAGTTCTCACTTTCTTCCACTGGAACAAGGTCTTCTCTGTTGTAAAATATGCTGATGGAAGACTCTGACTTTACCAGGACAGGAAGCTGGCCCCCTGCACATGTGACAGGCATAGGCTGAATGACTTCTTGGGATATACCACTGAACCTTGAGCTTGTTTTCTTTATTCCCACTCTCATCCCAGAGTATTGCTGTATTATGGAAGATGTGGAGCCGCGTGTCCACATTTTTAAGGCCATTATTTTCATATGAATGTAACATGAAGTATGTCTCTCAGTTAGTTTTCGACCACTGAAGGCTGAGAAATAGTAACTGGACCCTTCTCTGGCAGAGGAAGCCTTCATCAGTTCAGCTGGAATCCCAAATAAATGCTGAATAGATTGACAGGTATCTGCAGTGGCTTTTTCTGCTAGAAATGTTTGAGAACAAAGCTTCCTTTCCATAGTGGTCCCTAAAACATTCCCCAGCGTTAGCATACTGCAGAGATATTTTCTTGGTAGTCGCTGCCTCCAGGCATGACTCTCCTAGATGTTGTGTTGTCTGCCCAGGAAAGACTTGATGAGGGATTTTTGATCCCCTGATTCTGCCCGGAATGTCCTAGATAGTGATCTCCAGCTTTGTGACAGATGTCTCTGAAGTGAGTTCTCTAGATCCTCCGTTTGTAGTTGTCTCTTTAGATCATCCACTCCTGGAATCTCAGAGCATGAGTTTTCCACAATGTTAGCTGTCTTATCAGAGCTTTGATTATGAAGGGCCAAGAGAAGAGTTAAATATTGCATCATAGTAGGGTCTAGATAGGTCTCTCCAAGCTGCAAAATATCTCTCCCAAGCTCTGGATACTCTCTTTATCCCAGAATCCCAAAGTCCTCCTAATTCAGATGCTGTTTTGACAGAGCTTGAATTTAATAAGTGAGGTTGAAGAGCTTTGTGGAGCCTAGAGAAGTCAGTCCCCACTTGTAACTCTTCTGATGTTAACTTTATTGAAAAACTCATGCTTTGAATGAAGAGACCTTCCAAACAGGTTTTTGTGAGCAACATGGCTGTTTATTCACCTTGGTGCAGGTGGGCTAAGACCAAAAAGGGTATTAGCAAAGGGCAGTGGGATAGGAGTTGGTTTCATAGGTTTGAGTAGTTTTTTGGGGGGCAGGAGTGTTGCAGAACAAGTTCAGTTACAGTGGTTGGGGGTAGGGGCAGTCAGTTACAATGTAGGGTAGGGGTGAGATAGCAGGATGGGTGAGAGGTATTTACATTATCATAAGAACAGTTAAGATGGCAGGGTTGGGTGAGGGGCTTGTCCACGAAGCAGGAGCTGAGTGATCAGGGACAATGGCAAATGCAAGCAGTGGGTGGGTAGGAGACATTAGCCGAGGCAAGTAAGACTTCAGACTTTCAGGCTCCAGGCTTACATATGGAGATCTGACACACCTGTTTTTTTACTTATAGAGAGAAAGAATTAGACAAAAATGGGCAATAACAGGTTTTAGTCTGTGGGGGCAAAGTTTCTCAAGGCTTCTTCCAGTGGGATTGGGGGCAGGGTGGAAACCTAAAAATGGGAAAGAATTTAGACTGCTGGAGATTTTGGGGAAAGGAGTAGTATTGTGGGGACATTAGAAGGAGCATTTATTATATATTGACTGATTGGTTATCGCTTGTATACAATTTTGTAGGAATTGAGAGATTAATTGGAAAAACACAGGGTTTAAATAAGAGAAGGAGAAAGACAGTATTAGAGGAGGTTAACTGTGTGGAGGGAGAGCTTTTGTTTCTGTGGTATATGAGGAAGCATGTGGTCTATAAGCAACCACTTTTATTAACAAGATTGGTTTGAACAGAGAATGGGAGCCAGATTAAGAGTGAAATATTAGCTATAATTACCTGGAGGAAAAGTGTAAACCGTCAACTCAAAGCAGGACATGTAAAAGTAAGTGAGTACAGTGAATCTGAGGACAGTTAGACAGAAACTAATAGAAACAGACTTTTTGAGGTGTGTTTTAAGTAGTAGGGGCCACTGCATAAAGGTGGAGATGGTGAGGGGCTGAAAGTAAATGTGTGAGATGTAGAGAGAAAACTCTGGGGGTTGTGAGAGCTAGAGGATAAATGGGGCACAGCCTGTGATTTTGAGGGATTTTAAGACTATTAGGGCAGCAGCTGCTGCTGCACATTGTCATGAGAGCCAGCCCAGGACTGTTAGGTTAAGTTGTTTGGATTAAAATGCTACAGACCATGGGCCTGGCTCCTATGTGAGTATCCCAACCGCACTGCCCTGAATTTTAGCAGTATATAATGAAAAAGTATTGAGACAGTTTGGGGAAAGCTAGGAAGGGAGCAGTTTTTAGAGCTGTTTTTTAAGGAGAAAGGATTTAGGATTAATAGGTTTGGATAAGTTTTCTTTAGTGAGTTTATACAATGGCTTAGTTAGAATAGCAAAACCTGGTATCCAGAGGGTGAAAGTAGCAACCACACCCAGGAAGGAGAGAAGCTGTTGTTTGGTGGATGGGGTTGGGGTTTGGGAAAGTAACTGGATATAGTTGGCAGAGAGAGCATGTGTATGCTGGTGAAAGATTATAACAGATGAGAAATAAATTTGGGCTTTGGAAGGGGATACACGATACCCCTGTGAGGACAGATGCTGAAGAAGCAGGAGGGTGAATTAAAAGGCCATGTTGTAATAGGCAGGTGAGAACAGGCTTTACTTTTAAAGCCTGTTGTGGGATGGGGTACTGGGGCTGGGCAGGGTAAGGGTGGTTAGGTTTTAAGGGGATAATGAGGGGTGAGTGACTTGTAGCAACAGATGGCAAGACAGTGTTTTACACCCTAGGGTAAGGTTGGGGAACATAAGGGGAGCTACTGAGGAAGGTACGGGTTTGGGGAGGAGGGCAGCAATAAGGTGTGGCTGTAGCCCAGGAGTAAAGGAGGCAGACAATTTTGCTAGGGTATCTTGGCCTAACAGGGGAACTGGACAAATGGGGATGATTAGGAAAGAATGTGGAAAGGAGTGCTGGCCTGACTGGTGTCAGTCCGGACACCAGACTTGGGGAGATGTGAGAGGCCTGGAGGCCGTGCCATCAATTCCCATAACAGTTATGGAGACCAAGGAGACAGGTCCTTGAAAAGAAGGCAGCGTGGAGTGGGTAGCCTCTGTGTTGATTAAGAAGGGGATGGACTTACCCTCCACCATAAGAGTTACCCGAAGTTCAGTGTCCATGATGGTTCAGGGGGCTTCTGAGATGGTTGGGTTGCGTTAGTCTTTAGCCACCAAGCCGAGGATTGGAGCTTCAGGAGCTGCGGGAACAGCCATGTGAGTTGGACAGTCGACTTTCTGTGGGGGCCCCTGCACAGATGGGGCAGGGCTTAGGAGAAATCCCGGGTTTTGAGCATTTCTTGGTTCAGTGGCCAGGATTCCCACACTTGAAGCAAGGTCTGGGCAGGGTGGCTGGATGCGATGCAGTCTGGGCGCTTTTAAGTCTTTGTGAACTGGTGATGTGGCTGGGGTTTGTCTTACGGAAGAGGCAAGCATTTGTAGTTCTGAGATGCGCTGCTGCCAGGCAGATTTTTTTCTATTATTGAACACCTTGAAGGTGAGGTTGCTTAATTCCTGTGGTGGGGTTTGAGGGCCAGATTTTAATTTTTGTACCTTTTTGTAATGTTGGGGTTGATTGGGTGATAAAATGCATATTAAGCATTTTTTAGGGGTAAGAGTAGAAGTAAGGATGACATTTAAGTTCCTCCAGGTGAGATTATAGGACTGGGTTAAGTATTGGAGCATTTGATGAAAAGGAGCCTAACTGGTGGCCAATTTGGAAAGACTGGATAAAGGAAAAGGAATGTACACCCCAACTATGCCTTTGCCTTTAGCCACCTCTGGAAGGGGGAATAGTTGGGGAGGGACAGAGGAGGTAGCTGAGGGACTAAACTATAAGCTGGGCCTTGTATGAGGTGGGGAAGGTGACAGGAGGGGCATAAGGAGGTGGGTTGTGGGCAGAGAAAGAGAAGGAAGGCTCTGGAGGGTGGGCTAGGTTCTGGATTAGGGCCAGGTTCAGACGGGTGGGGAGGAGAACAGTTGGAAGGGTTGATGGACAAGGATTCTGGCTTACCGGCAAAGGAAGCAGGGGCAGATGGAAGGGAAGAGAAGGAGTAGAGATTAGGGAGGGATTGATGTGTAAAAAAATGCCTGGACGTAGGGAATTTCAGACCATTTGCCCGTGTTGCAACAAAAATTATCTAACTTTTATAAAACAGAGATGTTGGAAAATGCCATTTTTGGCCAATTGGAGCCATTGTTTAACTTGTATTGTGGGCATGCGGTGTTACAGAAAAAGATGAGACATTTGGGTTTTAGGCCAGAAGACAGTTGAAGAAGCTTGAGGTTTCCCAGGCCAGAGGAGAGACGGGAGGGATAGAGGATGGACGATTGCCCATGGTTCTGGAAAGGCAGCAGAGACAAGGAGAATAAGCATGGAACCCAGCTGCTCAACAGGGGTCCCTAATTGAGCCTGGGTTGAACCTGGTTATAGGTGGGTGGTCAAAGAGAGTGTCCTCTACATTGACCTGCCACCAATGTCAGCCATGAGCCTGGTGGGCGAGTGACTAGGGTGAACGTCTCCATGATAGTCAAACCCCTGAGGAAACTGAGTCCCTGGATCTGTGACCTGTGTAGGATGTTTCGCTCATGAACCTCACGGGAGATCTTGGTTTACCGATTTTCTTGTCTTTGCGGTGGAAAAAGGACAAGGATGAAACTGAAAGGGAGAGGAAGTGGAAAGGAAAAGACAAAAGGATGGGAAAGCAAAAAAGACAGACTGCTTACCAGAATAGCCGGTGGTGTGTGTCTGTGGGCTGGTCTGATAACCCCAGGTCAGTAGGTAGATCTCTTCACGGAGGGAGCACGAGAACAGGGACCGGGGTTTGGTCTCCCATAGGAGTTCCCCTGTCCCAGATTTCCAGCACCAAATGTTGAAAAACACGTGCTTTGAATGAAGAGACCTTCCAAACAGGCTTTGTGTGAACAACATGGCCATTTATTCACCTGGGTGCAGGTGGGCTAAGGCCAAAAGGGCATTAGCAAAGGGCAGTGGGAGAGGAGTTGGTTTTATAGGTTTGGGTAGTTTTTTGGGGGATGGGGGGTGTTGCAGAGTAAGTTCAGTTACAGTGGTGGGGGGTAGGGGCAGTCAGTTACAATGGAGGGTAGGGGTGAGATGGGAGGATGGGTGAGAGGTATTTACATTATCCTAAGAACAGTTAAGATGGCAGGGTTGAATGAGGGGCTTGTCTGGGAAGCAGGAGCTGGGCAATCAGGGACAAGGGCGAATGCAGGCAAGGGGTGGGAGACATTAGCCAAGGCAAGCAGGATGTCAGACTTTCAGGCTCCAAACCTAACTCTGTCAGATCCAAAGCCTATGTTTCCTTTATTACACAATGCTGCTTTTCATCCATTATAACCAGCATATCCAACACAGCAAAAGAGGTCTAAAGTTTGGATTTAAAAATCGCTTAACAGTCATGAAATGCCAAAATATCTAACCTGCTTGCAGTTTTCCATGTGTTTCTTTAAACCCTCTATGGTCTTCCTCCCCACTGCCTGGCAGGTAGGGCAGGAGACACTGCCTTTATCAACGATTTCTAAGTACCACTGCTCCTCCAAACTGCCTACAAAGGAGAGAAAGAAACACTTTGTAATCCTCAGTATTCTCCACAAACAAAAAGCATAAACTCAAAATTTAGGTAAAGTATCATAAATGGTTTTTCCTTTTCCTGGTAGACTGCAATGAAGAGACTCTTGCTGGGTATAACTTCAAAAAGTAGTATTTTTTAGATCGTGTAGTTTCTGAAAACTCGTACTCATTTCGCCATGATAAAAACTCCCTGAGAACCACTCCAAAGCCCAGTGGCTTAAAGAACGAGGCAGCAACATTTTTGACGACAGGACATAACAATGGGATACTGAGAAATGTCACAGCCTATCTGCTGAGTGTTTCTATGTGCCTGAGACTATGCTAAATGTTTTTAGCCATTTAATTTTCACAACAATTCTGACTGCCTTTATCACCCCCATTCATAGGCAGGGAAACTGAGGCTAGAGGAAGGCAAATAAATGAAGGCAGGTCAGAAAGTTAATGAAGAGCCAAAACTTGAGCAAAGGTCTGTCTGACTCCAAACTCGGGCCCTTAGTAACTGCCTCCTTAAAGAAATGCTTTAGCACCTCATTCCTTCACAGACAACACCAACAACAAATCAGGGTGTGAGAACTACATCCCACAATGGTTCCAGAAGAAAACATACCTGCTGCATAAACTGGTGGTTCCTTCCGAATGCGACGAGCCTGGGATTTGGGATTGGGCTGAGTTTTAGGCCGTTGCTTCCTCCCTGACACAAGACAGAAACTTGAAGCCCAACATGTCACCCTTGCTAATACCAAAATGTCTTCCCTCCCCTTCTCTTCAACACCCTATTTTCCAGTCCCTCAACAGACTGACTGCCTAAGTCATGACAGAATGAAAGGGTATAAGGCGGCAGGCTGGAGACCATTCCCTCTTAAACAATTCAAAGGGCTCAGAGGTCACTAAAGGGCTCAAACTAAGGTCTCTTTTCCTTTTACCCTCAAAGAATAAAGCCCAGTCACCCAAGGAAAAAGAAGTAGCAAAGCTACTGCCTTACCATAAAGCTTATGCTTCTTCTGAGGAAATTCTCGATAGTCTTCATCTTCTTCCTGCCTGGGTTTCCTTTTTCCCTTGGTTGATACTCCACCTGACCCTGAAGTACCACACAAAAACAAAACAAAAACTCAGCACACTTTGTAAATGAACAGCTAGGCCTGCCTTCAAAACATCATTCACAAGACCATCAAAGGGAAAAAGCAACAGTGAACACAGGCCTCAGGAAATGTCTGTGAGATTTTTAGGGAAGCTGGTATAACTTCTCATTAACTGACTCAACCTCCCTCTTTCTTTTTATATTGTTATCTAGTTGTTCCTTATAAAGAGTAAGGGCCTTCAGGCAATGTGTTTTCCTTAATCTTGATTTGAGACTAAAAAGGAACACAAGAATTGCTCAAGACAGAGGGCTAGCCACCCAAGGACCCTTGAGACTGTGACCACCTAGAATGTTCTCCCCTAAATAACCCTTACACCAGCTCCTAAATCCTCACCAGAAGTTAAAACTAGAAGAGGAAAATAAGTTCAGATCCTACAAAGAGGAAAATCAAATGCTAATTATAACCCAGAGGAGCGAAATTAGCAGAACTTCACTCTATCAGATAGTCAACAGTTCATGAAGCCAACAGGATCCAATAGCCTAACACAGGCGTTCCCAAACTACAGCCCATGGGCCGCATGCGGCCCCGAGGCCATTTATCCGGCCCCCGCCGCACTTCAGGAAGGGGCACCTCTTTCATTGGTGGTCAGTGAGAGGAGCACAGTATGTGGTGGCCCTCCAACGGTCTGAGGAACAGTGAACTGGCCCCCTGTGTAAAAAGTTTGGGGACACCTGGCCTAACGCCTTAAATTTTTTAAAATCACTAATGAAAAACAAATATCTGGCATTTAATATTCTTAAGAGGTATTTACAATAATCTCAAACTATAACTTTAGGGAGTGTTCCGTCTTTGGAATAAGAAGACACTGATATTGATACTTTCGACATGAGAAGCAGCAGCTGGCTTGATCCTTCTCATCTTCATCCAGTAGGTAGATTTTTGAAAAGATGCTAGAAATTCACTCACTGGTTCACACAAAGAGGCAGATGATGAACCACTTAAAAAGTCATCATGAGGAATAGTGTACTGGAAACTATTATCCTTTATGAAGCACTGGGTCCTGCTACTAATACAACATAAAAATATACACCACAAAGGAAGGTCTGTAGCAAAATTTCTATACATTCTTTTATATTATAACCAAGTTGGTTACCTGTGCAGAAAACTAAGAAGCCTGCTTTTATTAAAACAGAATGTAAGTTGTAATCACCTAACAATAACAATATTTGATCTAATACAACATGTGCAATTATTATCATTCTTCACTGTAATCAGAGAGTAAGGAGTACGCATAAATGATCACTTTGCAGTCCAAGTAGACATTCCTTCCTAGATTCATCTAAGAAAAGAAAGTAGCCAAAGCAATAAGGGCGTTCTGTGACCCTTCAGAAGACTCCCTGGATTTGTAACCTGGTATGACCCAGCCTCTCTATTTCTCTGACAGAGGCACGGTAACTCAAGGGTATCTCTGAGGGAAAGGAATAGTCTGTAGGGCCTAATCTGACCCATCTTCCTTCTCCCTCAGCATTCTCCCTAAAGCCTGATGTCCCATCTTATTTAGGCAACATGACACTTAGCTTCCACAGCTAAAGGAGGGATGCTATCTTGTATGAATTCATCTGGCCAGAGAATTCTGGTATACAGCTGAATCCAGAGTGCAAAATCTAAGACCAGTCAGTATGACAGTTAACAAACATGACTGTGTAACTACAAAGCAGCAGACATTCTTGTAGGTGGCTCAAGATGCAGTAGAGCAGCAGTTCTCCAAGAGAGGTCTAGGGACTCCTAGAACCTCCCTTTCCCTTTTCCAGCTTAATACCTGTGAGGCCTACTTTAGATGTATGGTTCAGAAAGATTCTTCTGGCTGCTGTATGGAGACAGCCCATGGGAGAAAGTAAACAAAAGGAAAAAAAGTTAACTTGAATTGGTAGATTCAAGATAACACATTAGATGTAGAGCTAGTAAGAATTAAACATAGAGGCCAGGCACAGTGGCTCATGCCTGTAATCTCATCACTTTGGGAGGCCGAAGCGGGTGGATCACCTGATGTCAGGAGTTTGAGACCAGCCTGGCCAACATGGTGAAACCCCGTCTCTACTAAAAATACAAAAAATTAGCTGGGCATGGTGGCACATGCCTATGATTCTGGCTACTGGGGAGGCGGAGATAGGAGAATTGCTTGAACCCAGGAGGCAGAGGTTGCAGTGAGCTGAGATTGCACCATTGCACTCCAGCCTGGGAAACAAGGGTGAAACTCTATATATATATTTAAAAAAAAAAAAAAGGGATTATACATAGAGAGGTTTGTCTGTGACAGCAGGGAGTTGGAAGTAACACAGTGACCACCTTTGTAAAATGTGATAGATGCCTACTATGGAATATTATGTTGCTATTAAAAGCAATAAACCAATTCTATACATAGAGACATGAACGTAACTGGAAAGTATACTATTCAATGAAAAAAGAAACAACATCTTCAGCACAATGTCAGTTCAGCAAGCTAAAAACAAATCCTCACATAAACACAGCTTATTTTTAAAAGAGTCAAAATATTTAAGGGCAAACATCACCCTTGTTTATACAGTTTCCTCTTGGAGGGAAGGGATGGAAATGGGGATAAGTAAACATAACAGAGACTGGTTATGTCAGTAGGCTACAAACAGAAGAATGAGTTTCGGCTCTCCGCACATGAAGTCCGATAGTACAGATTTAATACACAGAAGTCCTGGCTCTGGTGGGGCAGCTAACCCCACTAAGCCCCACCCCTTCTGCTGATTGGACTCTGTAAAGCAAACAAAAACAAGAAAATTACACAGGAAGTCCAAGCTGGGAGAAGTGACCCAAAAGGGGTGAGTTTTCCAGTTCTGTCTTTTTCCCTCATGTGTGAATCTGCAACAAGGATGAACCCCACTTGCAGAACACCATGGGCACCTTTAACTCTAGAAACTCCCTCTTTCTGACCAAGCAAATCAGGAAAAACGTCCCTGTAGACCAGAGTTAGGGGATGGGGGAGGGGGAAAGCTGGTGAGAAAGGCAAAAAACAAGAATCCCTTAATTCAGTGTATGAATCCACACAAGTCACAAGTTGACCTTAGCCATGAATATGTGGCATGTACCCATACATAATAGCCTAATAAAGACTTTCAAAACCAAAATGGGATTTTAACTCTAATGTGACCCAAAGCAGCAAAAGGTTGGTGAACTGAAATAAGATTGGAAATACCTTCAGAAGTCTCAGACCAGCCTCTGGGCTATTCATGTATGGGACAGCCCAAATCATCATAGCAAAGACCTAAAGAACAGAACTGAGATTTTAACCAATGCCTCCAAAAAGCAAGACAGAAGTTTTTGCCTGAACCTAAAGCAGGGATGCCTGCTAAAACAGAAATGGCAACATTCCCCAGAAGAATTAAAATAGAACTTAAAATCTATACAAAAAGTATTCACAATGTTGAGGATAAATTCCAAACTTATGCAACACATAAAGAACCAGGAAAATATAAGCAATGTTCCTTTTATTTATTTATTTATTTATTTTGAGATGGAGTCTTGCTGTTGCCCATGCTAGAGTTCAGTGGCACAACCTTGGCTCACTGCAACCTCCACCTCCCACGTTTAAGCTATTCTCCTGCCTCAGCCTCCCAAGTAGCTGAGATTACAGGCATGAGCCACCATGCCTGGCTAATTTCTTTGTATTTTTAGTAGAGATGGGGTTTCACCACGTTGGCCAGTCTGGTCTCGAACTCCTAACCTCAGATGATCCGCCCACCTTGGCCTTCCACAGTGCTAGGATTACAGGCAGAAACCACGATGCTTGGCCAATGTGAGCAATTTTCAAAGGAAGAGATGATCAAAACATGCCAACCCTAAGGTAATCCAGATGTTGGAACTATCGAATACTTTCAGTAAAAAGTATTTCCTTATAAATTTCTTTCTTATAAAAGAACACACACAAGAAATGAAAGGTAGGAATCATCAGCAGAAAGAGAAACCATAAAAAAGAACCAAATGTAATCTTAGAACTGAAAAATACAATGTTCAAATAAAAACTCATCAGATAGGTTCAGTAATGGAGGGGACAGATAAAAGAGTCTGTGAACTTGAAGCTCGATCAACAGAATGACCCAGTCTGAAGAATAAAGAGAAAAAAGATTGAACAACAGTCAACAGAGCCCCCATACCAAAAGTTCTAACCTAAGTGTAGTTGTAATCCCAGAGGGAGAGGAGAAAGACACTAAGGCAGAAAAATACATTTGAAAAAAAATGGTGGAAAATCCTCTACACTTGGTCAAAGACATAAATTTACAGATTTAAGGAGCTCAACACACACCAAATAGGATAACTCAAAGAAAAATATACCAAGACTCATATTTTTGTTCGGTTTTGAAACAAAGTCTCGTTCTGTTGCCCAGGCCAGAGTACAGTGGCACACGGCTCACTGCAGCTTGAATCTCTCTGGCTCAAGTGATCCTCCCACCTCACCATACCCGAGTAGCAGGGACCACAGGTGCACACCATCAGGTCCACTAAATTTTTGTGTTTTTTTCATAGAGACGAGGTCTTGTTATGTTGCCCAGACTGATACAAAACACTTCATTATTATTATTATTATTATTATTATTATTATTATTACTTGAGACAGGGTCTCACTCTGCCACTCAGGCTGGAGTATAGTGGCTCAAGCACAGCCTCCACCTCTCAGGCTTAAACAATCCTCCCACCTCAGCTTCCTGAGTAGTTGAGACCACAAGTGTGCACCACTATATCCAGCTCATTCTTTTTTTGGGTGTGTAGAGATGGGGTCTCACTTTGTTGTCCAGGCTGGCCTCAAACTCCTAGGCTCAAGCGATCTTCCTACCTCAGCCTCCCAAAGTGCTGGGATTGCAGGAAGGAGCCACAGTGCCCAGCAAAGACACATCTTAATGAAATTATTCAGGGAGGACGGGGAGGGGAGAGATGGGGGGAAGGTAAAGAGAGGGGAAAAAAGAATATAAATGTATTTATTACCACTGAACTGTACACTTAAAAATAATAAAGATGGCTCGTGCTTATAATCCCAGCTACTCAGAAGACGCAGGAGGATTGCTTGAGGCCAGGAGTTTAAGATCAGCCTGGACAACATAGTGAAACCCCATCTCTTAATTAAAGAAAAAAAAAGGTGGGGGAGAGGGGCAGGCGCAGTGGCTCATGCCTATAATCCCAGCACTTTGGGAGGCCAAGATCCACTTTGGAGGATCACCTGAGCTCAGGAGTCCAAGACTAGCCTGGCCAACATGGTGAAACCCATCTCTACTAAAAATACAAAAATTAGCCAGGTGTGGTAGCAGGTGTCTGTAATCCCAGCTACTTAGGAGTTTGAGGCAGGAGAATCGCTTGAACCTGGGAGGCAGAAGTTGCAGTGAGCTGAGATCATGCCATTACACTCCAGCCTGGGCAACAGAGTGAGACTCTGTCTCAAATAAATAAACAAATAAAATAAACTAAGCTGGGTGCAGTGGCTCAAGCCTGCAACCCCAGCACTTTAGGAGGCTGAAGCAGGCAGATCCCTTGATTCCAGGAATTCAAGACCAGCCTGGGAAACAAAGTGAAACCCTATCCCTATTAAAAATACAAAAAATTAGCCAGGCATTGTGGTGTGC